CACACACACACACACACACACACACACACACACACACACACACACACGAGCACAACAGGCATGATGGGTTATGAACTCTCAAACAGCCTACATAGCCGTGCACCCAGGCCTACTCTGAAGCCACTCAGACACTCACCCCCCCCCACTTTGCTGAGGTTCTGTGGGGTGCTAGGCTCTGCTCTGCCCCCCAGAGATCCTGGCACTTCCTCTCCCCAAATATCACCCCCACTTCCCTCCCTCCCTGCTGCTCTCCACTTCCCCTGGAGGCCCAGCGCACAGCCTCAGACCCTGCGGTGTGTGGGTGTCTTCTCATTACATCTCCCATTAAAGGGGACACCTGGGATCCCAGTGATGCTCAGGCCCCCCAGCTTCACCAACAGCACTGTGGGAAACTCCCCCTATGCCCAGCTGAGTCAGTGTGAAGAAAGAGCCGGCTTCCAAGAAACCCAGCAGCTTCCTCTCTGGGAGAGGGGGTGAGGGACCCCCAAAACCACAGGGGTTGGGGAGGAGTGGCTGGCAGGCTAGGGGTTCCTGGGGAAGGGCCTCTGGGATCGATTCTCAGCTTCTTCTGGCCCAGGCGCCTGTCCACACCCAGGGGCAGGGACGCGGGAGGCTGGGTGCTGTGACTTGTGGGTTCTTGTTCTGGCCTGCCCACTGGCTGACTCATGGGCAGCCCCCAGCCCAGTTTCCTGGTGAGGGCCCTGCCAGGGGCTGGTCAGTGGAGCCAGGGAGGAGGAGGGTCATCAAACTATTTATAAGAAGGAGAAGTCCCTCCGTGCCAAGACCAAAAGCCCCAGAGAGACCCGTGGGTGGGGGTGGGTGAACTTCCTCCTTACCCTGTCCCCCAGGCCCCAGGGAATGGGGGAAGCCTGGGCAGGGACTGCTCAGCCAGGTGCTGGTCTGAAGCCTAGAGCCTGGGCAGTACCCAGCTGCCAATCTCAGCGCCCAGGCCAGGCGGGGGAGGGGGCTATCCTCACACCCTCCTCACCAGGCAGGCCTGGCGCCAGCGGGGCGGCGTGAGGGGGTGGTGCCCAGGCCACAAGGGTGAGACTGGCAGGGGCCTGGAACCGGCTGTACCAGCTTGGCTGGGCCCCCGCCCTCCCTTGCTGGCCCTTTCCCCACCCCCTGCTCAAACACCCATATAGAGTGCATGGCGCGACCCCACTTCAACATGGTGGCTCGCCCGCAAACACCATGTCCCCTCATCCTGTAGCCAGCTCCATTTCTCCCCCAGGGAAGAAGACCCTGTGCAAAAGGACCCACAGAATTTGGCATGCGCTTGGCACTGCACAGACGCCTGTCTGCTTGTGATCATCCACAATAGAGTTGCTAATGCTCCAGAGGCAGACAGCACTTCTAGCTATGGAACGTCAGATGAGTTCCTCAATCTCCTGCACCTCCGCTTCTCATCTGTTAAATGGGGATACAAAGAGCAAACATTTTGCTGGGCTGTTGGAAGCAGTCAGTGACTTACTTTATGAAAGCCACTTAGAACAGTGTCTGGCCCATGGTCAGAGCCATATAAGTGTTACCTATTAAAATAATAATTACTATTTCTTAGTCTGTCTGCCGGTCTTAAGTGTCTCTGAGTCTGTCTGTCTGCATGACACTACCTCAGCCTCCATGTGTCTCTCTGGGCATCTCTCCCTGTCCTGGCCCTCTTCCCTGTACACCCATTCTTGCTTTTAGGTCCTTGTCCTCCTCTCAGTCCTCTTTGGGACTGCCTGGCCTCTCTCCAGAGCTCCCCTCTGGCATGGCCAGCCTCAGCTCTGGCCACTAATGACTCACTGTGGACTCCTGGGCAGTGGAACCTGCATATTGGCTTCCCAAGGTGCTGCCCTCCAGCCTGCCCTGCCCAGCCCCCCAACGCTGCCCGCACTTCCCTGCGGGCCAGGCCAGATGTCAGCTGCAGTTATTAGCATGGGCAGGAGACACAGGCCTGGCAGCCTGCCTGCCAGACTCAGCGGCCTCTGGAATCTCCCTTGAGCCTGGGGCGGGGGAGGGGAGCCACTCAAGCGAGGGGAAGATGGGAGGGGCACTTAGGGGTCACAGGGACCCTCCCCAGCCTCTTCTGGGATCTTCCTCCAAGTGCCACTGCTCCACTGGACTTCCCCGGTCCTCTCATAGCTCGGTTTTTCTTTCATCTTTCATTTTCCTTCTCTCCACCATGCTTGGTGAGCTCTGAGCCTGCCTCAGAAAGGCAATTTAGCCCTTGTTCTCAGCCTCTCTCTACCCTAAAAAAGCTTCCAACCTCCCACAAAACAGAGGCCCAGGAGGTTGAGAAAGAGGGAGAGATTTGGTCTCTCAGCTCTTGCTCTTGTGGGTTACTAACTGCTTGGAAGTCCCACCTTAAGTCTAACTAGAAGCCTATCTAAACCTCCACTCTGCCCTCCCGGGGAAGAGGCTGTGGGTTTTCTCATCCCCTTGGATTTTGGTGTACTTGGACTGGTGGGAAGGGAGCCCTCAGATGAGGGAGACACCCTGGCGAAGGAGAGAGCCTTCCTCTAGATATTCTGGATGGTAGAAGAGACCTCCAGACTAAAGTGGGTCCTGGCCCACCTGAAGGAGAGAGGGGTATCCAACCCCTAGGGGTATGAGAAGAAAGGAGCCCCGACCTCCTGGCAAAGGGAAGCGCACCCTGCTCGAGGGAGGAGACAGCCGCACAGCCACGGTGCCAGCCTGCCCAGGCGCCTGGGACGCCTGGAGGCATCAGCCCGCCCCCTCCGCGCCCTGTCGGGCCGGGGGCGAAGTCCGACCCAGGCCCTTGGGCAGGCGGAGACCTGCCAGGCTGGGTCGGGTCGGGCCGGGCCTGGCAGCACGCAATCCCAGAACGGCTGGGCGGGGCCGGGCCGGGCCGCCGTGGGGGCCTCGGGGGCGGCGGCCAGGGCTGGTCGGGACTAGCCGTCCGGGGGCCGGGCGCGCCCTGGGACCTGGCAGCTACCAGGGCTCCTGGCTCCTGGCTTGGGGCCCCAGGACAGCGCTGGTCACACCCCTTCCTATTCCCTAATTTGGGTGTCTGGGAGAAACTCCGGGGGTCGCCCCTCCCTCAGTCCCGCCCGCCGACTCTGTCCTGTTGCCTTGGCGACCAGGCCGGCTGCTACCCCCTCCAGAGGGCCAATGGAACAGTCCCCACGCTGCCTGCCTTTGCGGTGGTCTGCCGGAGCCGCGGGCGGAACCATTATACTGAAGGGGGGGAAAGGATGGCGAGGCCTCTGTGGCTGGGCTACTTCCGCTCACCCAGGCCTCCACCGGGGTCGCATGCCCAGGTTCCTCTGGCCAAGAGCAGAATGCTGGCGGACCCAGGGCGGGGCACAAGGTCCCGTAGGATCCGAGTGACGGAGACTGGGCCGGGCTCCTTCCCCCGGGGCTGTTGCCACACTTCCTGCCTCGGCGCTCTTTCCCCAGCCTGTTTCTAAGGAAGGGAGTCGGGTAGGGCGACCGCACCCCGGCCGCCCGGCTGGGTCTAGGCTCCAGGAGCTGACAGGGTATCGGACAAGTCCCGCGTCACTAGGGGAGGGCTTTTGGGATGGGGGACAGAGTATACAGGTGCCAAACAGTCACCCACAAAGGAGAACTCCAGTCATGCAAGATGCAGCAGTACCTTCTCCAGGATCCTCAAAGCCCCCTCTTGTGGCATGTCATTGTCCACTTAGCTCCTAAGATGTGTGCCCCAGCCTTCTAACTGTATTTCATTAGGGCTTTGCAGAAGATCACACCTTTGACAAACACGTCCCCCTCTTCTATCCCACATATTTTTACATCTCATTGTACCCTAGGATTCTTGCTCACTGTCTGCTACCTAGATTCCCCCAATTCCTTCTCCTTCCCACTTATGCGGGAATCCTCAGACTCTTCCATGGACTCAGGAACCCCTATTCATATGCCGGGAACAGTGGTTGGATGCTGGAGAGGCTGAGGCAGGAGGATCTCAAGTAAGAGGCCAACCTCAGCAACTTAGAGGCTCTGAGCAACTTAGTGAGACCCTGTCTCAAAGTAAAAAATTAAAAAGGGCTGGGGATATGGCTCAGGAATTAAGTGCCCCCGGGTTTAATCCCTGGGGGGACACACACACACACACACACACACACACACACACGTGAAAAAAAGAAGCAAAGAAAGAAACCCTACTCATTTCTTGCATAATGGATCCTGCAGCTCTGCCCCCTATGATCTCTCCCCTCTTCCCTCCTGTGAATATTCCAGTCCCTCAACCCCTTTTTGCCTGGGACCCCCAGTTAATTTCGGGATCAGGAGTCTCCTCACCCCTCCTGACTTTATCGGGCTTAATCTCCCTTCCCTACTTTCTGGGGAAGTGTATTGGCAATCCTTCAACCTCTCAGCTACTCCGGGTCCCTCAGACCCTTCGCGGTCCATCTTGGGACCCCCTCCCCACCCGCTATGTACCAGGTCCTTAAATCGGCCCTGGTGAACTCCAAGGGAATCATCCACCTCCTCGGAAGTCCCTCCCGCTTATGCCTCGGATTTTCAAAGCCTCCTTCCACGCGTACCCCGTGGTCCCTCGAGCCCCTCCCCCCTGCAACCCCGCCGAGCTACCCGGCCCGTGGCCGCTGTTTACAAGGACACGCGCTTCCTGACAGTGACGCGAGCCGCCTCCTCCCCTTCCCCACGCTCCAGAGGGGGGCGCGGGGGCCCGGCTCTGGCGTCGGCCAATGGGAACGCACTTCCGCAGCTGACAAGCGCGGTATAAAGGCTTGGGGCTCCGACTCAGCGGCTGGGACCTTCAGCGCAGCCGGGCAGCCTCGGAGCCAGCAGGGAGCGGGGAGCTGGGGGAAGCGAAGCCGAGAAATCCAGCGCGCCAGAGAGGGTGAGAGGGGCTCGGGAAGCAGGACAGAGCTTTCGCTCAAGGCTGCCAGCTGGCTGCTCCTGGTCGGTGCCAGCCCCTCACGACGCGCGACCAGACACCCAGTCCGGCCACTGCCGCGGACAGCTCGGCACCCGCCGGAGCGAGGCCCGGGGCGGCCCCGCAGGGACCCTCCCCAGACCGCCTGGGCCGCCCGGATGTGCACTAAAATGGAACAGCCTTTCTACCACGACGACTCTTACGCAGCGGCGGGATACGGTCGGGCCCCGGGCGGCCTCTCTCTACACGACTACAAACTCCTGAAACCGAGCCTAGCGCTCAATCTGGCGGACCCCTACAGGGGTCTCAAAGCGCCCGGGGCACGGGCCCCCGGCCCTGAGGGCAGTGGTGCGGGCAGCTACTTTTCCGGCCAGGGCTCGGACACCGGCGCATCTCTGAAGCTCGCCTCCTCAGAGCTGGAGCGCCTGATCGTCCCCAACAGCAACGGCGTGATCACGACGACGCCCACACCCCCGGGACAATACTTTTACCCCCGCGGGGGTGGCAGCGGCGGAGGTGCAGGGGGCACAGGGGGCGGCGTCACTGAAGAGCAGGAGGGTTTCGCCGACGGCTTTGTCAAAGCCCTGGACGACCTGCACAAGATGAACCACGTGACACCTCCCAACGTGTCTCTGGGAGCCAGCGGTGGCCCCCCGGCCGGGCCCGGGGGAGTCTATGCTGGCCAGGAGCCACCTCCTGTCTACACCAACCTCAGCAGCTATTCCCCAGCCTCCGCATCCTCCGGAGGCGCCGGGGCCACAGTCGGGACCGGGAGCTCATACCCGACGGCCACCATCAGCTACCTCCCACACGCACCGCCCTTTGCTGGTGGCCACCCCGCGCAGCTGGGCTTGGGTCGCGGCGCCTCCACCTTCAAGGAGGAACCGCAGACCGTGCCGGAGGCGCGCAGCCGCGACGCCACACCGCCAGTGTCCCCCATCAACATGGAAGACCAGGAGCGCATCAAAGTGGAGCGCAAGCGGCTGCGGAACCGGCTGGCGGCCACCAAGTGCCGGAAGCGGAAGCTGGAGCGCATCGCGCGCCTAGAGGACAAGGTGAAGACACTCAAGGCCGAGAATGCGGGCCTGTCGAGTACAGCCGGCCTTCTCCGGGAGCAAGTAGCGCAGCTCAAACAGAAGGTCATGACCCACGTCAGCAACGGCTGCCAGCTGCTGCTCGGGGTCAAGGGACACGCCTTCTGAGCGCATCACCCACCCCCGTACGGACACCCCCCAGCCTGGACGGCTGGGTGCACGCCTCCCACAGGGGGAGAGGGGGCAGGCGGTGGGCACCCGCCCCGAGGCCTGGGATGCCGCAAACCACACTGGACTCCGGCCCGCCAGCTTTGCGCCCAGTCCTTCCACCTCAACGTTTACAGGACCCCTTCCACGTTTTTTTTTTTTTTTGTATTTTTTTTCTGTTGGAAACAGACTCGATTCATATTGAATATAATATATTTGTGTATTTAACAGGGAGGGGAGGGAGGGGGCGATTGCGGCGGAGCTGGCCCCGCCGCCCGGTACTCAAGCCCGCGGGGACACTAGGGAGGGGACCTCCGCCCCCTGCACTCCCCCCTCTGCACTGTACTGTGGAAAAGAAACACGCACTTGATATCTAAAGAATTTATTTTAAGATGTGTGTATGTGTGTGTTATTCTTTTTATTGAATCTATTTAATTAAAAAAAAAAAGGTTCTTTAT